AAACACAAGAACGGTGAGAATTATACCGGGTTAGCGAGCAGCAGATCCACTCAACAAGCACCAGTATGGCAGTTGAGAATGAACGATTCATTTGAGGTCTTAATTGGACGACGAAGGTTCCTGATTACTTCATCATCAAAGGAAAAACAGGAATAAAGTCGGTACACCCAGAAAGATTAAGATAAGTGGTGAAAGGCCTTTTGTTGTTTTGAAGATTTGATGGTTCCAAGAACACAGGTGGGGCGGAACTTTGGGAGTTTATCTATTTTCTTGTGCTCTACATCAGTTACTAGACACTTCCTAAATATGGTTCACTACGAAGGACCCTAGTGTCTCCCAAGAGCGTTTTGTCTCGGAATTTTGTTTATCTTTTTACTTGTTATCTGTCAAATACGAAATTGCACAATTTTTTGGAAGCTATCAGTTTCATAGATTACCGATACGGTTCCACATCTGAATATCTAAAGCCCCACAATCGGCATGTTTTACTCAGCCTTTGTCATTTCAGCTGCAACAGAAGGCATTCGCAGAAGACGGTCGGAATCTGTGTTTTTGCTCATTATTGCTCACTTCTTGTCTGGGACTGTTTACCTCATAACTGAATCCAATTTAACTATAAAATCAATTTATTTGATGCGTTGTGAAAGGCTTCGTAATCGCCGCATCTGTTCTGCTTTCGTTCGGGACCGTTATGTCTCAACCGTTCCAGACATCCAAAAGTATACTGATGATATCGTTTTGTGTCCGCCAATGTTCTTCCTTTTTTCAGAATCTGATTTATTCACTGAAAACCTGTGTCAAATCCAACAGTTTTCCAACCAATATAGTCAATTAGTCTTAACTCATCCAAGTGCATCTCTCCTATTTTTTTCCTCGCTCTTCAGCTCCAACGAACTCTGCTACCCTTAACTGTAAATCACTGTCTGGAGTGAACTATATCAAGTACCCAGGTGTCATCATCGACAGTGATCTCCAGTGGTTTGCACACATTTAAAGTTGTATGGGGAAACTGAGACACCTTTCCTTTCAACTACGAAAACTCAGGCAATTCCGAACCTAACAGTCAGTTTTTTGTCCTATTTCATGCACCAGTGCACTTTACCCATTCTTCTCTATTGCTCCTTTGTAGTGTTTTCCTGCCTTTTAAAACAAGATCTCAAAACCATTAGTTGTGATTTAGAGATAACCAGTCATGCATCATTGATCCCAGGTTATTCATTATTCACAGAACTTATTATTGGTCAAATCAACTCTCGTATTAAATTCTTCCATACGATTCTAGATGACTCTTTTCATCCACTGCATTCTGATCTGTCCTCTTGTCGTCACAATCCGTCTATTGACTCCTCCTTTGGGTATCTATCTATCTCGTAGTAATATTTATACGTATTCCTCTTTCTCCTATCCGACCTGACTCCTAACCAATAAAGAACAAGTCAGTGAATCACATCAGGAGTTGGGTACATAAAACAAACTTCAGCAACATTATTCACGTTGCATGTTATATATCAATTGCATATTTTATTCGATATAAAAACCAGTGGAGATTTTTAACTGAAATATCAGCAAATTAGCTTTCACAAGTTATACAAATAAAAATATTATCCCCGACAATGTCAAAGTTGTCGATTCCTGGGAGTAACAAAACACAAAGGATGCAGTAATCAAGATCCAAGGCATGAAGGTGTGTGCGGATTTTTCCCCATGCAAATAACAACATAACGAATGCGGCACAGTTAAGAAATATTTGGGAAATTATCATCCGTCGGTACGCTCACAATTAATGGCCATACTTGAAGTACTCACTAAGGTGTCACGGGGTTAAACCGACCAAGGAATAGCAACCATAAAATTCGTACCAAGTGCAATATTAAGTTGGGAATAGCGGGAGATATGGCTCAATTGCATGATGGAGTACGTTGTGAACAGAGAATAAGAGGCACAAACTGAAAGGCACTGCATAACTGCGTCTCCATTTTGTTTAGTTTCATCAAATGGTGTTATATCGTGTGCAGCAAAGGTGTAAACAGTCTAATTCTATTCGGGTAGGGGTGGGCTCCGAGCTATAAGTTTCCTAGCCAGGCTAGGCAACCTGACCAGCGGAACTTCGGGGATTTTGTTTAGCCTGGTTACAGAACGTCTGCGAACAACACTTCATCTCGGAGACCAGAACCAGACCAACATCCGCATCGCGAACTACAATCCTTCCACCTTAGGCTTAATTATCTCCGGGAAATCAAATGAGTAGAATGCTAGCGTTACATCTGAGAGGTTTCGAGTCTGATCCACAGTTCGGTTGATGGAATCGTATCGCTGATGAGACTCGACAAAGTACACACAGCTGTAGACCGCAGCTTAGCATTCCAGTTCATGCTTCCTGTGCTCTATGCACAATGGAATTCACCATGTCATAATATGGAATTAGCTTGAAACAACGCCATGCATGACCTTAGCAAAGATAGACATACGCGTATACTAGCATACATTTCGTCACAACTGATAGAATCCTTCCCGGTTGCATGTCCTCACACGAATGTGCTGATCGTAAGCGAACTGAAACTGATTCAATCCAGGTAGTTTATGGTTAAAATGAACGAAGAAAAGGATTCTGTATTCAGGTCAACAATCCAGAACCAATTTTACCAATATCAGAAGCACTATCGTTTCAGTTACCGTTTGTACAACCATTAACCATGCACTTTCGTGCGCCGGTTTTGGTTACCGTAACTGTGCAGAAAGGCCAAATTTGGAGCGTCACAGACGACTGTCACCTCCATCTACTGTCCACCTATTCAGAACGAAGGATGGAAACGCGGGTGTTCAGCCGGATCTCTATATTCCTGCTTTATTATCGTTTATGATACAGATATTGTCCAAACAGTACTTCCGTAAATAGTAACCATATTGGTTTTATGGTGACTAAAGGTGATACATCTGGACAAAAACGGTTTTAGTTGGAAATTGAGAAAACTTTGGCAACACCAATCTATCTCTTTTTGCCGTTGACACACGCGTCCAAAGTGAAGTTGAGATTCTATCGGTGAGATGTTTATGAAATAAGAAGTCATTTAACTTTTTCAAGGGTCGTAAGTTTCCCTTGCTCAAACCTAATCATTCGGTCAAAAAGAATCCTGCACCAATCCCTTGTCTCGAGTGGTGTATAGCGTGCAAACACAGTTCAATTGCCAGCAGTCTCAGACAAGTACGAAGTAACATCACCGCCAAATTTAGCAGGAAAACGTACCAAGCTACGAAAGTCAATGAACAGCAAAAACCGGGAAGCATCATTAGTCCCGAACCGATCCTTGGGTCTTAGCAATTATGGAGCAGTGCACCGTTGCGTGTCTAACAGAATGTGAACGGCTAACAAAGAGATCCCAATGACAGCGTGATCGCGTGAGTGACCGTGCAGCTCGTTTGGATACATGTAAACACACACATGCCGAGTAGGACAGACTGAACTGAAAGAGATTGTTAGGTGAACAGCCTATTTTTGGTTTCTAAGGGAAATTCGCCACGAAAACAGAGTAAATGAAGCGGGAACTGAAAAGCTAGGAAGCACTGTACAGCTGTCCCAACCTGGTTGGGTTTTACGAGCAGTGCGCGCATACATCGACCCAATCAAACTGGGGATCGAAGCCTGGACAGCATCACAGGCAGAACGCAAGCATGCTACCCACTAGGCTGTCGGGCAGCTGGTAAGACCGCTTTTCATCTGCCATTAGAAAAATGTCTTTTTTTCTTCCTTTTTTGTTTACTGAATATATAGTCAACATTTCAGGAAGCACAAACCATCTTTGCGAGCTTGTTGCGAGTATCACGCCCCGCTCATTTCAGTACTGTTCGTCAGAATTATGACCCGGCTGGAAACGTTCACAACCTGATTACTTGTTAGATGAGAGCTCTATACAAGACGAATTTCCCTTTTAAGTTGAACCAAATTCTTCATTGTGTCTCCAGAAGACTCACTATGATCACGAGTGGGTGTCAAGGGTTGCGGCTGGTCAACATCCCTTGCACCTCGCGAAATGATCCCTCAAGATCAAGCGTCTCAAACAGCCTCTGCTGAGGAAGCCCTACTCAATGCCTTCTCATGGGGCGGAGGTGTTTTCCCACCAAAGTGAGAAGACGAAAAGCCGATATCAAGAGTCATAACCGGGTTGGTGGACCACTGGTAGTTCACCTAAGGAAGTTGGCCAAAAACCCTGATTCCAAACCAACAAAGAAGAGGCGTACGAACCACATTCACCCACAACCTCCTCGATGTAACAGTGGTCACCGGTTAAATTGAGCATCGATGTGTATTGGGCACCAAGGCACCAAAGGGCGAATGATCCGATGAACCGGACACCGGCCGCCAATCGATTGCGGTTTTCGCACACCGCTTTGTTGCCTTGCAGGTCGGGTTTTGACTAGCCGAAGGCTCATGTTGTGGATTCCTCAAAAAAGTTCACCTGCCTTGGCCTGGGCAACCTGGTAGTATTCCGCCCACATGCATATCATGGAACGTCTTTCTTTTTCATAAAGATTATTGTTCCATAATTTTTTTGGAACACAGTCTGGATTCAGACGTTTGTGAAAATATATAATAAATAAATTCTTCTCATGTAATGTATTTTATCTAAAAATTTCTGTTTTTCGATCATTTTTAATTTATTTTAAATTACTTGAATTTTTGTTGAGTTATTTTGGCCGTGATCGTACTCGTGGGACTAAACGACTTGAGTGGCCACTGAGGTGCTTGCTCCGAAGTGTTCGGATCTACCTCGTATTGTCATGTGTCCGTGCTCTGTGATATCGAGCACATCAACTGTGAGTGTGCGATCTGTGTTTCTGGTCCACCATCAGAAATGAATGTCACTACTAATGTGTTGACTCCTGTTTGGACACGCTTTACCTCACGCCGTTTCAATGTGTTATTATGTCAGTGTGTATTAGTTGCGAATGACCGTGAACGACAAAGCAGACATATACTGATGTACATGATCCCATCTCGAGCATGACTGATAAGGGGCCTTTATTATAGAAACGAAACCAGAGGTAAGACCGAACAAGCCAAGAACAACAGCAGTAACAAAAACATACGGCTACGTTTTTTCCATCAGAGATAATTTGTCCGGTTGTTTTACGGGAACGCACAGCAATAGCGTTACGGAGTTGTAATGCTAGTGCTGAGAGGGGTCGGTCATTTGAGTCAAGCATCGGTGGTGATGGTGATCGCGACTTGGGTGGTGGTGATGGTGGTGGTGGCGGCGGCGGAGTGGGTGGCGATGCATCCACTCGATTAGTATTGGGTGGATTTCTCTGCATTGGAGACGAAGGGGACGAAGGAGGTGGCGGAGCAACCAAAGTGGACGGAGTGACGGGACTATCGGGAGCCAGAGCGACGGCAATCTCAGTGCCACTAGTTGACATGGTTACTTCATCCACAATATTAGAATCTTTTAGAACAGCGGACTGAGTACCACCGGTCATAATGGAATCAGGGCCGTGGTTGGAAGCAACGCCCATGTGCGGACTGGCTGGATGATGACGCGTCGATGTGGACGATATGCGATCGGTGTCTGATTTGAAGAAATAAAAGAATAAAACTTTACCGTTGTAACAATAGAGAATGTGAAAAGCTTGTAGGGTAAATCACAGTCTATGTACAGCGCAACTCAGAAAAGCTTGGCGGCAGCCTTTTACCACACTACACTGTCAGTCCCCAGTCTGTCGGTCAAACGGGGAAAAATTTGACCCACATTTATTCGGAGAATTTCATGCAGTTAATAGTGGATGGCTTAAAACTAGGACTTGACAACTCCCCCTGGAGGAAATAACTGATGCTGACTTGTTAGCCAGATTGTGGCCTCAACGAGACGGATTCCTCGCTCTCGCAATGCGGTAAAGATAACCTTGGCGAGGTACGGAAGCAAATAGAGTTTCTTCATCAAACGGTTGCCAATACAGATCGTTTGAATTAAAGCAACGATCAAAAATAAAGATTCCTGTTAGCACAACAAAACTACACTAACTCGATCGTGCATGACACAGTTTTACAAACGGTCGGGCGACTCAATTGACTGTGTTCAATGGGATCAGGTAAACAAAGTTAAACTCGAGAGCTGAAAAACCTGATGTCAAAAAGCAGTGAGAACAGAAACATGCAAATTGTAAGCTTATCTGAATTTCGATTATTGCTTGATTGCTGTGCGGTGTTATGCACATTACGGTAACTAAAACAAAAGAACAAGATGGGTAACAAAAAAATAACCTTTACATATACATATTTAACAATAGGTGCTATATGAATGACTCGAAATTCCCCTGGCAGCACAGGAGCGGTTGCGCGTTCCTTGTCGCTCATAGAGTATGCGTATCCGGTAATCTTTTGTCAGTTCATCCATATACTTGTACCCAGGAAGCGTATTTTCGTCAAAATAAGATCATTTGCAACAGCGAGTGAATTTGTTCGGACGGCTCTTTCAGAACCAGTCTGGATATACATACTCGACGAACAGCAATTTTTAACTGAAATGTAAGCCTATCTTAGCTTGCAAAGTTATACAACTACAAACCGCAAAATCACGGTCATGTGCTGTCAGGGAAATTTCGTTGAATTCTTTTTATACTACTTATTGTAATATACATATAATCACCCACCGTCTTAAGTGATACATGCCCGAATCAGTCTGCTCCCGATAAAAAATAGTACGCAACGTCAAAACATCCGGGAACAAAATCTCGTGGGCTAATGCCTCACGTTGTGACTAGGCAACAACACCAAATTTCCAATAACTAGACCACAGGAAACTAGTTAACTTTTGGTCATTTTTATCCAATATAATATCTAGACAGTCACGAGGAAAAGATAAATATTCCGTATTGAATGAATTTTGTGCGTCATGAGGTAGACACTTAGCGAACCCCAAATACGCGAGAGATTGATTGAGAAACCATTTTCATCGGATTCATTTTTCTCAAAAACGAAATTGAGCAGTGGAGTTTCTGTTTCACGCACCTACTCCCTGTGTTCCCTTTTTTTTTAATATGATAATCAATTAGCAAACTCGTGCGTGAATTGAGACACTGCAATCGAGCAGAACTCGACCGAACACGGTGCACTCGTGTAGTTTGTTTTTCCTTCTCATATCGATCAACCAATCAATCGGTAGATCGACCCCTGTGTTATCAAAATTGTTGTATTCGAGAGGCTCGCAGAATCCCCTTTTGAATGTGAACCATAATCTCCAGGGGCAAAATGGAGCGCTCAGTTCGGACCCCGGTAACAAGGGGGCCGTGTTATTACAGAAATCAAGTTAGAAAACGTTTACCGAACCAACTACTACTACTCATGGGAGATTTTGAATGGACCAGCGACTTCAGTGAACACTTGTCGTGTAAGTGGTGTTGTTGGCATAGGCGTGTGTGTATGTGTGTGTGTATACTTGCATATGGACTTTAGCTTTACCTAGCTCTCTCCCAAACACACCTTGATTGGAGCCACCAAAGGTGATTTTTCTAACCAAAAGAATGATTCATCCGTGTTCTAAACGCAGAGAGAAGAAGTGAAACAAGAGAAAGCTATGACGGGACAATAAACACAACACGGGCCATTCGGGTTGTTCAAACGACGTGAATAGATCTTGTTTTCTCACAAATGTCCACCCAAACGAAAATACACTGTGTCTGTTTGTTTGTTAGATCAGGTTAAGTTGGGAATCGGCGACATAATGTTGGACCTTAAAATAATGCAGATTGATTGTGTAGCTAACAGAAATTACTGATAACGGGTTGTTCGGAGTTTCGGTTAGTCTGTTCCATTTGGCTCATTCGATAGCATGAAGGGCTTATTATTGCCCTTGGAGGTGGGTTTCACTTCCTGGGAAGCTAATTAATTCCCCACATGTGAAATGCATTTCAAGTCTGAACTAGTTTTACTCACACTTAGACAAACTTGTATTACCAAGGTAACCGGTAAAACGATAGATGAGCGGACGTTTTTGGAGAATATCTCACGCATCGTTAAACAGTACCCGATGATTAATGTTACGTATGTTATTTGAAAGACTTTCATGAGGAATGGTCAGCGATGTATTGTTTATCACTTCAGAATATTAGCTAACATTGTTCGACACTATTCTCACACACGAACAAAAACTTTAAACTGATAATATTGATTTAACTGCTTTTATCAGTATGCGGTCTTAGAACCGTGATGCTCAAGCCGGACTAACAGTCTGGACGATTTATCGACGTAATAGCAGTCAATCTCGACTGTCAACGAATTTTGTACAGCGTCCTATTGATTTCTGTGACTTCACGTTGTAGGTATCCATTTGAAAAGGACCAAGTATTTTATCTGGATTATGAATTGTCGTGAGTTCGGAATTTATTCTTTTCCGATGAAGGTGGGAAATGAAAAAAAATAGGAGAGTCAAACACAATTCGTAAGATTCAGAAGAAATTCAGACCGATTACGGTCAGCAAGCCAGTAATCCGTGATCCAGCAGTTACACTGCCTGATATTTTGTCGATCGTAAGCAAAAGTACACAAACATGTGATTGAAATGTGATTAATTTAGATCAGTGACAATAACCAGTTAAGACAACTGTTTCAAGCCTGCTCAACGGCTGCGTGATGGAGGCCGTATTGGTGTGCCATGGTTTTGTAATCTGCAACCCACCCATCCCCGCTTGATCGAGGACCAAGTCCTATGCATGATCACAGTTTGAATCACGGATGCAATCCGGTTTGCTGTAGTTCTGATTGAAACAGCAAACTAAAAATACAGTTATTTAGCAAATTATTACTTTTTCAAGTTGTTGGAAAAGAGTAGACTTTAGGTAACCGTTAGTTCAAACAGACCTGAATTTCTCCAAAGGAAATGACCTATTTTAGTGAAAAGTTGCACGTTGAAGTTGAATCGATCCATAGTGAATGTAATCCGGATTGTCCGACAAACTGAGAAGGACCCTAATAATAACTGGCAGTTTTAAAGTGCATTCAAAATTAGAGACTCAGGTCTGTTGCTCAGTAATTTTCACCCACCCACACACACCGAAAGAAAACGAACAATCTGACGACAGACTGAGACTCAACACAAACAAACGTCCTGAGACCCGAGAAACTTTTCATATCAGAAAGCACTA